CGAAGCTTGTGGTGAGATTATAGTCTACAATATTTATTTAAGAGCCCAGATCTGCTAGGTCAATGCCTGAAGTTGTTCCATGGTTGGCTTGTCTATAGTGGGGGATGTCGTTCTGAATGTTGACTATTATGTGTTTTTGTTTCGGTCGAGATAGTTGTCTTTCCTTCCTCTAAGGTTTTTTTCTTTGATGGCATCGTTTGGTGTTCGGCTAGTGAGTGGAAAAAGACCTTTACCTGGCTGAGTGAAAAAAGACCTTTACCTAGCTTGTGACTAAGATTGTGCTTGTGTCGAGCTTTGATTTCAAGGTATTCTTAGAAAAACATAAGAGAAAGACAGTTAAAGATAAAGACAGGAAGTGTTCCTTATATTTGCATTCTGAAGCGTAAGTCAAATATGTGAGGCCAGAAAGAGAATAATGACGAAAAATAAAAGTAATATGAATTTACTTTTATAGTGTCTGAACCTTCATATTTATAAATAAACAATAAAGAATCATTAAGGGACATTAAAGGAAACGTCAAACTGTTATGACATTGAATATATTAGATCAATCTAATATGTTAGATTGATATAAATATCAAAATTATCTTTGATTATTTGTTAAAAACTTTTAATAAAAAAATTATTATATTTTTTTGACCATTAAATACATAAAATATATTAAAATTCAATAATTTCAATTCTTGCGAGCATTTAAAAAATATATTTTTAAAATTCATTCAAACAAATTAAAAAAAAAAAGTACGCCAATTTTGACCAAATGCTACTTTGGCGTTAAGCTTTTTAATGGGAGTAATGTACTTTGAAACCTTGCTACATACCGTAATAACGTGTAAGAAACGGGAGATGGACAAAATTATTGACTTCCGAAAAGCAGCCCGTGCAGGCCGCCCACTAATTTTAAAACGGTGAAATTATTATAATAATTACTATATTTTAATAAAATTAAAATTTTAGCATATATTTAATGTATAATACGATGATAAATAGTATAATATAAAATTATAAATAAGATTAAATTAAATTATATCATTTTATATTATATTTGATGTATTAAAAGATTAAGAATAAAATATAATATTATTTTCCTATTTATCATGTTTAAAATAAGATGATATTTTTTATTAATCAAAATTATCTTTTATATACTAATTTAATTTTTATGCAGTGGTATAATTTCTCAATATTTTTTTAAAAAATTATTAATTAATTAAAAGTTGTCCAAATACCTTTTTAATTGAATATTTTTCAAATATTTGATAATTTAAATTTTAGGTTTTATCTTTTAAAATTAAGGGTAAAATAAAAAAAATTATTTAAAATTTTTGATAAATTATTTAATCCTATAAATTAAAAATAATCTTTTATTTTTTCAAATGATAGAGTTATCCTATTTACATAGGATGTCTAATTCTTTTACTAATCTAATTCTTTTTTTATCAATACATAACAAACATGGATTAAGATGATTAGTATTTTATCCTTCAACTAATCTTATGTGCCAAACGTAGCCTTAGTCTATCTATTATGATTTACAAAAATTTAGTTTTTTTTATTTTTATTTAATGATTTTAGCCTAATAATTAATTTATCAAATTTTTATCGTTAAAAATGATAACATAATCATTGATTTGATAATGTAAGTATTGACATAAATGACGTGACATTGACTTTGTTGATATGAAAACTTGAATGAATGAAATTAATATCAAATTATGCAAATGATCTCCATACTCACATAAATTTTGAATTTTAATTCTTTTAGTATAATTCATAAAAATATCATCCTCATATAAGTTGAAAATGATAACATTAGTCCAATTACTAATATGATCAATTACTATTTATTAACTTTGGTGACTTGACCAATGTCTCTTTAGAAAATCATATGAAAATTAAGAAATATTATTTTTTTAAATCTCTAAAATTTAAAAAAAAATCTCAAAATTTTCAAAAAAAATATTTTTAAGCTTTTTTTTTATTTTTAAAATCATTTAATTTAAATTTTCTTGAAAAATTTAATTTTCCTAAAAATCATATTTCATAAATTTTTAAACAATTGGATTTTAACTTTTTAAAAATCACAATTTTGAAATATTTTGAATTTTTATTTTAAAATATTATTTTTATATTTTAAATATTTTAATTTAAAAAATAATATTTCTGAATTTTTATGAAAAATCATGTTTCAATTTTTAAAAAATAACTTTTTTTAACAATTAAAAAATTTTAATTTTTAAAAATTTTTGAAATATTAAATTTATTTTTTCAATATTTTAATTTAAAAAAATAATTTTCAAACAAAAAATTAAATATTTTATTAAATAAATTTTTTTAATTTTGAAAAAATACAAATATTGGGAAACAATGAATTTTTATTAAATAAATTAAATTTTCAAAAAATCTAAAAGTTTTGAAATATTGAATTTAAAAAAAATAAAATTGATTTTATTAAAAATTCAAAAAATAATATTTTTAAATTTAAAGTATTGAAAAAATTAAATTTAATATATTAAAATTTTGATAAATTTAAAAAACTAAAATCTATTTTTTAAAAAATCCAAATATAATGTCTTAAAAATAAAATAAACATTATTTTAAAAAACTAAAATATTAAAAAAATAAATTTGATATTTTAAAAATCAAGAAAAATTCTAAATAATTCATAAATTTGAATTTTTTAAACTAAAACTTTATTTTCCTAACAAAATTCAATAAATATTATTTTTGAGTTAACGTCACACATGGCTCCTAAATTACAATGAAACGTTTTATATGGTACATGAATTTTAAAAATCTTTAATGTAATATATGAATTATATATATTTTAATTATAGTGATATTCACCCTTAAAATTGCTACGTTTAAATGATGACACATGGTGAACAAATAACCTTTCAACTATTATATTAGTTAGTAAATTCATAGTTTATATATCATATTATAAATTTATAAAGTTTAGATACCACATTGAAAATTTTAGTATAATTTAGAGGCAATTTATGATATTAACCCATTATTTTTTAAAAAATTAAAAAATTATGAAAATTTTAATTCAATGCTTTTTAAAAATTTGATTTCCTAAAAAGCCTGAAAATCAAAATTTTCTACTTTTTTTTTTATATTTTTATATTTTTAAAATTTTAATATATTTTTTTGTTTTTTAGGATTTTTAATCTTCAAATGTTTTTATAAAAAAGAAGTGGTTACATCAACAAAATTAACTTTGAGTAATTGATCAAATTAGTAATTGGATCAATATTATCAAATTCAATTTATACGATGACAAGTTTTTTATAAATTGTACTAAAAGTATTAGAATTCAAATTTTGTATAAATATAAAGATTATTTACCTAATTTGATAATTAATTTCATTTATTCATGTTGACACATTAACAAAGTTAATGTTTAGTAAGCAAAATTAATGTCAGTAAAATTAATGTTTATGTTATCAAATCAATAATTACATTAATATTTTTAATGAGAAAAAATAAAAGAGTTAATTATTGGTTTAAAATTATTAAATGAAAAGAATATAATAATCAATATTTTTAACGAAAAAAATTAAAGGAGTTAATAATTAATTTAAGATTATTAAATGAAAAAAATATAATAATTAAATTTCTATGAATATAGTACGAGACTAAATTTAAAAGCCAACCTTGTAAAGCCAACCACTTTAAAAACATTTATTTACATATACTGTTACTTTATTTCTAGAATTCATAATTTATTTGTATTCATATAATATTAAATATATAATATTAAAATTAATATGTTATAATTTATATCTATATGTCAAACGTATTCATATAAATTTTTTTATATATATTATAGTTTCTATATCATTATCACATTTAAAACTATTATATTAACTTTTTTTATCCCAATCTAGGGATGTCAACAGCTAGAATTCTTTATTTTGTTTTCTGAATTTTTATATTATACATATATTCGTATCTATATTTAACAGATATTTTAAATTTATCTTTATTGTTATTTTCACATATATTTAATAGGGAAGGGTAGTCTCATACGCATAACTAAAAAAAAAACTAAATTTTATTTTCTAATTTTTTGTATACTTAGGTAATTTTTATAAATATATATTTTAATATTTTTTAATAAAAATATATTAATTCTAATTAATATAAAATAATAATTTATATAATTTAATAAAAAACTTATTTACTAAATATATATATATTTGTAGAATACGAGAATAAGTATTGTATTACCTGTTTCCCTCCTCATGTCTAATAAAAAATTAAAATTATATCCATTTTTATTTTCATACTTATAATATAATATCTTTTCACATTTTCATTTGAATAAAAAATTTAGATATAAGTAAAATTGTCATCCCTATTTCAATCTAAGTTCACCATGCCTTCTAGATTTCCACATAGTTTTTCCGTAAAGCTTTATATTAAGTTTACTTGTTAATCCACTGTGGATAATTTTTTTTTAATATTCGTTTTCTTGGTTGCGTTAAGTTTATGAATAGACCATTTCTTATCTTTTAACTTTTTCACTGATAGCAGAACTCGAAAATTCTTCTTAACTCCATATCTTTAACTTTAACGAACCTTTAAACTTAGAAATATTATTACTAAGAAAGATTAACCCACAACGACACTCAAAGATTTTAAAAGCAGTGAACACAAAAGAGGAGATCTGATTTGTCTTTTTACAAAGCACCATGACCCTTTTTTTTTTTTCATCTTAGAAAAGTTAGACACAACCCAACCCAGTGGGTAACTGATGCAATAAAATAAACATATGATAGAGAACTCACAGTAGGGATTAAAACTTTAAATATTGTTGGTTTTTTTTTTTTTAATTCAAATAATTTTTTATAAATTCCTTAAATTTCATATAATTAATTTAGATTTGACTTGAAAAATATTTTTAATAAATCTCAAAAATCTCTCACCGCTTAAAAAAATTAAAATTATAAGCGTAATGCGTACTCCAAATAACAAAAACATAATTTTTTTTCAAAGCTTTTAATATTGTCAATTGAAAATTTAAGTCCTTGGTACGTTTGTGAGGAAGGAAGCTTCTGCGAGTCGCTGCATTCCAACCTACTTTTTCAATTTTGCCCGAATTACAAGTAAAAGACATTTTCGAACCAACAAAACACTCTTTCCCCGGTGTGAAGTTATTTCCTAAAATTCTGGGATTTTATCCAAAGCTTTCAAACATCCAAATAGTTGGAAAAGGTCCAAGCTTGTACTACAAGCAATTTCTTAAATTCTTACGCGATTCTTCTCCTCCTCCGCTGCCCACAAAGCCATGAGAGCTCGAGCCCAAAGGCTAATACGTTCCAAGCCCAGTGATGGATATATTCCCTAATATATTACATCTCAGAAGATGTTGTTTTCAGTTTTCACATCTAAGTCACTTCCATTTTCTTTGTTTTTGGGCGACCCATTAAATAAGAGAGGTGAGAAACAGACTCTATGCCACATTCATCTGGCAATATATCAGAATCAGAATATATAGAAAAGCCAACAACTATATTGACAAAAACGTCACTCACAAGCCCAGATCAACCAAACATGAGAGTTTGGAACTCAAAGAAATTAACTAAAATCATCAATTACAATCATATAATTAAATATTACATTTATATAATCAATTAATAAATTATAATTTAACTAAATAATCAATCGAAACTTGAATTTAAGATATTAAGATCTTAAAATTTTAAAACCTCTCCCTTGTCACTAAGCCAAAGCTTCGTTGGCAGTAATTAAAATATCTTTTGTTCTAAAAATAATACATATCCAAAGCATAGCTCTTGCCATTTATGCTGTAATTACCACCTAGAGTAACTCTGAGATTTCAAAGGCTTATCTTAACTAACACTGACGTAGCCATAGTTGACCGTCTGGTGCATCTCTATTCGTTCTAACTACGCAAAGGTAATTAGGAATTGGAATTAATCCATCAACCCAAACCGTGGGTTATAATCAGAAAACCAGGAAAGAAGTTTTCCGGCCGCACCCAAACCAGGAACAATTCAATCCAAACCGTCTAATGCCATCGACAAAAAACTAGATGGAATAATAAGATGAATCTAGCAGAGTATCAGCTGAAGCAATTAAAAAAAAAAAAACTTTGGCCTAACCTCCTCGCAGCATTCGAAACTGCACGGGCCTGCTTTCATCATAATAAAATTCAGTTCTAGATCTTTAAGAAAAAAACAGTACAAATCATAATAAAAAATGAAAAAAAAATGAGAAAAAGGCAAAACACAAGAGATGGGGAATTACCTTTTTCCTCTATGCTTTGATATTCCACAAATTCAAAGATCCCTCACTGCAGATGATCGACTTAAAAGAAAACAAAAAAAAACAAGAAGAAAATGAGGTGAGAAAAAGAGAACGACAATTGGAATCAGTTTCTTGGCTTCCTTGCAGATTTAAAGAAAAGAAATTAAAAGGAACCAGCTAAAGAACAAAATTTCTAATTTCTCATCTTAACTATACTATTTTTATAACAATCTTATTCATATTAGTAGTAAAATCAGATCAACCCTTGCATAAAAAACAGAAGGGGATTTAAACAGTCAAACCATGTACCATAGTATTTAATTCTCTAATGACCCAAAACGGAAAAGATAAAGAGAAATAAAATCTCAAAAGTCAAAATTTTCTAGGCTCATCTTCAATTACTGAAGCCAAACCAGTAACGATCTTAACCCCAATCAATGAGTTCTTGGGTTTTATCTCAGGTGGCTTCCACTCTTCTTTCTCCACCTTCTTTTCCTTACCTTCTTCTTCAGAGCTCTCGGACAAAGCAAATATGGACTGCCCCAACTCAACATCTTCAAATGAGTTTTTCTCCTCAGGATTCAATTCAAACAAAGGTGGGCCTTTCTCTTTAGCTTTGGTTTCGAATTCAAACTCTTTGAGTGTTCCAATTGTGGGTGTGGGTGTGGGTGTGGGTGTGGGTGTGGGAGTAGGTGAAGGTGAAGGTGAAGGTGAAGGCAAGGTTCGGTTATGAGGAGAGAGCCATTTGGCCTTCAAATACCCAGCTTTCCGCCATGGAGGAATATGCATTCCCTTCTTCTTCAGGCTTTGCTTTACCGCCTCGGAAACGATAGCAATTATCTTCTGGAGACGATCAGTTTTGCCTACGAAGATGAAGGGAAGCATTTGAAGCATTGATTTGTATGTCTTTGTTGATCGGGCCATTTCGAATTCTGATTTGAAATCGATGTCGATCAGCAATCGTTCCCCGTCAATTATCACATCTATGTATTCATATTCTCCTGCCGGAATTAATGAAATTCAATCCACAACAGAGGAATTGCATAACATAAATATCTGCATGACTAATTTTGAGACAGATAATACTTTCTCTTTTCATTTTGAGGGGAAACAAACAGAATTATAGAGATATTTTTAGTAAGTACCGGCGGGACAAGAGGAGGATTTTTCCCAGCGAGATTTGCAGATAGAAGCATCGTATCCTAGGGCCAATAATCCATCAGTAACAATCTTCCTGCAAAAATCATCTTTTCGCTTACAGATCTTGTTCTTCTCGACAATCTTCGCTGTATCCGCCAGTAAATTTCTTTCGCTCACGCTCGCACAAGAAACCAAACTCTGCTCCATAGAAAAGGAAAAACAAATTAAAAAAAAAAACGTTACTGTCTTAAAACTAAAAGTATTAAAAAAAAAAGCGGAAGTGATTGTTATACCTTTAGAATTTCTGATGCTTCCCCGAAAGAAGTGAGAGTGGAGTCACTAAAACCTAAACCATCCATTTCGTCTTCGGAGCTGTCGGCGCAGTTACGATTGAAGCAGTTACAACGGTTACGGCTACACCTAACCGCACCAGATTGATGTTTGTCGTTGTTTTCTTCGATGAAGTTCTGCACCATCTTCGCCAAGCAAACGGAGCTCGGCTCGAACTCAGCGGTGCATTCTTTGCTGAAAGGCAGCTCATCGGCAGCCACATCACCGATCTTCTCCGCCGCGGAATTCCTCAGAACGCTAGGGAACTGCAGCTCAAACAGCCGTTTGAACCGCGATTTCATCATCGGCTTTATCGTCTCCAACCGAGGCGGTGCAACCTCTTCTAGCGTGTTGAAATCGATCGGTTGGATCTTCATTGGGAAAGGCATGTCTCTCAGCTTTGATTGAAAAAAACCACTTCTACACTTACCACGGCAGCTCTTCAAATTCTTGTTGATTCTTCGCTTTCATAACTGGAAAACATCTCGCTTTGTGATGATATCAGTAAACGCAATCGACACAGAAATTCATATTTTTTGGGGGGGAGGGCCAAAAATCAACGCGGTTTACCAAGACTCGAGACGCTTAAGCTTGATTATTATATACTATTATTTGCCTCTGATTTGCCAGACAAAGCATGGAATAACTTCAAAACTCTGCTAGGTAAAGTCGCTTTTGCTTATGGTTTTTTATTTTTACAGATACGTTTAAAGTTCCCGAGATACGCAACGGCAAGAGGACGTGACGTTTTTGCCTTGGAAATTCACACGAAGATCATCAGTGGCCAGTGACTCCATATTGTTCCCCGGCGAGTTGCTTCGGTTTTGCCGGCGAAAACATCCGGCAACGAGAACGTGAACAAATAGAAACAAAAGAAAAACCGATGCAATAAACAGTGGGTAAGAAAGCGTGAGACAGAAAATGCAATTAGTGTTGCTTTCGATTTTTTTGCGTTTCGGAGGACGATTGGCTGAGGAAGTGGTCCGGGGCATTATAAAGGCGAGGGTATGTATTGCTGATTAGGATTAATGGCCACGTCGAAATCCGACGTGACGAAGATCTAATCCGATGAATTGAGGGTACGTGTCAGTGTCAGCCGGTGAAACCAGTTCGATCCCTAGTCGTGGCTACACGATGCCACGTAAAGGAGCGTGACGAGCAGGTATCAGTTTGAAATTTCTTGATTACCCTTTTTGTTTTCAGGCACGAGTGCCCTGCGGGCTAAACTTAACCCTGCCTCGTGATACGGAGGTCTCTGAAAAACTGACACAGCTTCATGATGCGTGGGGTAGGTTTGGTAAACTGTACTTCCACAATCTGACGATAATACCCTAGTTTCCGTATAAGGAAAATGACTACACGACAAAATGGTAATTCGGGCATTTTACCCCTTCTTATTCCCCAATTTCATGTTGTGCACTTTTTTCCTTTACCGTGAAAGTAAAATACGGTAGATAGCTTTTAGACTAAAATACCCTTATTGGACCGTAGGCGTAGTTTCTTGTCAATAATCTCAGGCTAGGAAAAGAATTAAGATGTGGGTAGGATAGTCATTTCAATAGAAGGCAAGGGGTGGTTAAAATTGTAAAGTGCACGAGTAAAAGGGGGTCCACAAATCAATGACTGTTGTTTTGAATTTGGATGGTTACTGGGGATTGGGGTAAAGTAAAATGGGGAAACTGTGGGGGCCTAGATAGGGAAAGGAGTGGAATTTTCCTCTACAAACACAAAAGCTGTAAAAGGACGTCGTTTAGTAAGCCACGCGGCGCCATTTCGACAAGGATGTTATGTCCTTGGGTTGATTTGATGTAGGTTGGGCACGTGTCGGGCTTTTGGATCTTTAGAGACCGTTGGGTTGGATTAATTGAATACCCAATAGAACGAAATATCTCCCTCTTTAAAATTTAGAGTGTAAAATGAAAAAATACTAGAAATAAATAGGAAATTTTATTTACACTCTTATTTTTATTCTCTATATTTCACTATTATATAAAATTTAAATTTAAATTTTATATTTTTATTAAATATATTCCATCCCTCAACAATTATTTTTTTTTTACCTCTAATTTTTTCTTCTTTCTCTCTTCTTTTTCTTGAATCTCAAATTCAAATTAACTCTAAATCCATTAAATTAATCTTAAAATTATTTTTTTGAGTCTTTCATTTATTAAAAGTAAGATTTTGAGATTTATTTCTTTTAATTTTATTTAAATGCATGCAAAAATAATTAAGATTTACAAAATATATTTTATAGAATTCAAATTTCTTGAAAATAAATTTTCAATAAGCTTTTAAGGCTTTCAAAAATTTATTTCTATTTTCGATAAGTTTTTAATCGAAAATCCATTTTCAAAAAATTTTACTTTTGAAAATATCATATAAACTTTGAAAATGAATTTTCAAAAATATATCATAATTTTTAAAATTTTTGAAAAATAAATTTTATTCTAAAAAATGGACTTTCGAAAACATAAAAAAATCCAAATTTCACTAGGTATAAGAGAAAGAAAGATGAAAGAGGATGAATAAGAAGAAGAAAGAAAGAATAAAATGGAAAGAATAAGAGGTAAAATTGTAATTTATTGAAAGATAAATTTAATATTTGTTATGTGGGCATTTTTGAAAAAAAATTGATGAGGTGTATAGAGAAATTTGGGTGGTGTATTTAAAAGTCCCTGAAATAAATTCGTGCAATAAATTTTTTTATTTATGATAAATATGTTTATAATTAGTTTAATAAATTAATTAGTATAATTTTATTTATAATTTTTTAATAAAAGTAATGATTAGTAAAAATTGATCAATTAATTTGCATAAAATATTTGTATTTTATTCTCACACCTTATATAATAAGCCAAATCTAAATCAATTGTTTAAATTTTATCTTTTAAAACATAATTAAGAAATAATAAAATAGATAACTTTAAAAAATTAAGAAAAAAAGGGCTCTAGAAATTAAAAAAGAACCAAATTGAAGTGCCATATAGACGCCTCTATTTAGGGATGGCAATGGCTCAAGTAAGGGTTGTTTTTTGTTCTCCTAAACTTCGATTTGATTTTTTTTATAATTTAACCCGACTCCGACTCAAAATACATCGAGTTTGTTTTTTTTTAATGCTCAATCCAACTCAACACATATATGTATAACCGCATATGACTTAACTTGACTCGAAATAAATTTAATAATTTTAATTTAATATAATATTTATGAACCATTTTTTTTTTGCCAACAATCATGTAATCTGGTAGTAGATAACTAGATTCTTAGTTTCAGTAACCAAAGATCAAATCGTAGTGGTCTTAAGTATAAAAAATGTAAACTATTATTTTTTAATATGAATTATATTTTAATTATATATAAATGAAATATATTTATTTAATTAAAACATTGAATAATAACTTGATTAATATAATATATAATTAAATAAATAATAAAAAAAATATTTTTTAAATCCCTAAGAGGATCAAAGCAAAACATTTTTAATCTACCTTCGACTTGATGTCAAATGTCAAAAGAAAAAATTGTCCAGTTTCGATCCAATATCAATTTTCAAAAGAAAAAATCTTCATCGAGTAAAAACTCGTTCTAGACACCGATTTTGTCCAGATCTACTATCTTCAGTTCTAGTTTAATATTAATAATAATATTAATAATAATATCGATTTAATTAAAAATTAAAAATATTATAATAATCATTAAAAAAAGAGAAGACAAAAAACAGAGGGCTGGTACTACGCCCTGCCGCCCTTATCCAGCCCTCTGCCTGATTCCATCTGATCCAGTCACCCTACCAAGTCCCATCAGACCATTAACCCATGTGACCAGATCGAATAGTCACCAGACCAGACAGCAACCTTTATGGTCGTTCCTATAGCCACCCCCTACAGCCCTTAAGACATCCATACCGACACAGATCAAACTTTATAAAGAACCCAGCTTCATCCCCTTCTACTCTCTCTCAGACACCTCCAAAAATTCTCAGAAACGCAAAAACTCACATACCCAAAAAACCCAAACACTGCTCCTTGCCACCCCATAGAAACCCCAAACTATTCCACAACCAAAATAATAACAAAAAAAAAAAAAACAAAAGACAAAAACAAAAACACAGTCATCCTCATAGGGAGGAACCTAGCGTCGAGCCACCTGCACCAAAGAAAAAGGCATCAGTTAGTTTCCAAACAGAAAAAAAAAAAAAACACAAAAAACTTCAAGCTCAGATCTATGATGATTGGGGCTACTTCTCATGAAAAGGATGATAGATCTGAACTCAGGGGGTCAAAAGGAACCTCTCGATCAGTTTTGAAATTTTCGATCTTCGACGATCACCGCTGAAGGTGACCCAGGCGACAGTCGACGCAGCAGTGCGATGATTGGACAACAAAAGATCTAGAGCTCTCCCTAAAGCTCTGACCTTTTTTTTTTTAAACAGAAGAAGAATGAACAAAAAAAAATTAGTTATATATAAAAACCTAAAGCCCAAAACCCAAAACGACGTCGTTTTGAGCGTATAAGGATCTGCGCGTGCCTATTACTCGACTCGAGATCCGCCCAAACTGACCCGCCAACCCATTCAACCAGCCTTGAACTAGTTCAACTAAACCGTGTGCTGAACTGTCACTCAACCGATTCAATCGAACCGCCATTGACCTGTCCGATTCAGGTTTTTTTTTTAATTTTCTAATTTTTTTATATATTATTATTTTTGTTATTTTGAGTTTTTTTTATATACTTATGCATGATAAATTTTAAAATTTTTTAGAATAAATTTTTAATTGTTTTAATAATAACAAAAATGAAAACAAGTAAGATAATAATTAAAAATATATTTATTAAAAATGCTTAAAAATAATAATAATAATATAAAAAATAGTAATAAAAATTGAATTTTTTTTATTTTCCCTGCCTAGATGTTGGAGGGAATAAAAACACAATTCTAAAAATAATTTCGCCTAGATGTTAGGGAATTATAAAAAGAAAATTAATAAAAGGTATAAAAAAATTAAATTAACAATAATAATAATACTAATAATAAAATTAATGTTATTGTTAAAATAAGTTTTCATAAAAAGGGAAATATATGAAGATTTTTAATAAATTTTCAAAAATCATAAAAAAAGAACTTCCTTCGAAAATTCGCCTAGATGTTGGAGATTTTTAGAGATGTTTACGTTTTCTTTAAATCCTAAATTAAACCCTAAATCCTTTAAACCTTAAAACCAAAACTTCAAACCTCAAACCCTAAAACTAAAACCCTAAAATCCAAAATCCTAAACCTATACTCAAAACATTTTCAAAATTTTAAGGATACGTGCGAAAATCTTAAGTGGAGTAATTTGTTCTCGAATGCCGTCTAGATGATGGAGTATTTAAAGAAATCTTATTTCATTAAGTTTTTCTCAATGGTCCTTAATTCGCTTTAACAATTGGGTTAATAATTGTTTAATAATAAAAAGAGAATAATAATACAATGAGATTTTAAATATAAATAGTCGCACCTAAGCTCTGCCTAGACGTTGAAGAGTCAATGTGGTCTCATTATATTTAAGAATCCAATTTCAAGTTTACATTTCATCATTATACATAGCACTTATTAGCTTACATATATTTATTTGTTATTGTTTGCATTGGTTTGCATTTCTCTATCTTTAATTTCTACTTACTATCTGATAATACAATCATTTACTTTTTTGCACAAAAATGCTTTTTTAATTTACTTATTTTTAAAATTATGATATTATAAAATAAAACAAAAATAACATTCTAAAGGAAATAATTCTTGGTACTTTGCTTAGATGTTAAAAAGTCACCAACAATTATCTTTCACAAAAAGTGTTATTTTTATTTTAAGGAGTATTTTGTTTAATTTTAAGCGAAAAAAGTTATTTTAAATTATGCCTAGATGTTGAAGAATTTTAAGATAATTCTTTAACTTAAAGATTTCTTCAATATTCCTAAAAAAAAATTTAACCAAAATTTATTTTTTAAAAGTGAAGGGAATTAGTGTTAAATTTCAAATTGAAACTATTTTTATCCAACACCGAAAATAGTGCATAATTAAATGGCACCAATTTATGGGCGTTATGGGGGTGCTAATCATTCCCCACATGTAACCGACTCCCGGACCTAACCTATTTTTCGTAGACCAAAATTTATCTTTTTGATAAACTTTAAACCCGCTTTTATAGTTTTATTAAAAAGATAAACTTTTGGGTGATCAATCGTACCCTAAAAAAGATTGGTGGTGACTCATCTTTTTTTTTTCTAGATTTTAAAACACTTTTACATCTAGCAGTCCAAAAATCGTTACGACAGCTTGACGACTCCACTGGGGATATTTGAGAGTCAGGCCAAAATTTTTATTATGCGCTATTGACAATGGTTGGATTTAATCGGGTTTATTTCATATTTAATTTAATTCCTTTATTTTATTTTTCAAAAATATAGAGATTAATGAATAAAATGAAA